GTACTGTTAGCAGTGTGGTTAGTTAGCAGCATGGTTCTGTTAGCACCATGGTTCTATTAGCAGCATGGTTCTGTTAGCAGCATGGTTCTGTTAGCAGTGTGGTTCTATTAGCAGCATGATGATAACGACTGTGGCAGCAGACAATGACTGCCCTTCAGAACTGGGTCTGGCAGACACAGGACATCCCAAGTTTCCCTGCGGAACCGAACTGTTGGTGAAGATTCTCAGTCATCCAGGACATGATGAATTCAAAAACGTTCAATACGAAAACAACTGGACTTTATTTGTAACAAAAGACGTTAAGGTGTGAGGTGTGATTTGTCAATCTACATATGTTTGTGTATCTTACCTCAGCTTTATAACCTGAATCTCTCACTCACTGCTCTTTGAATTGAGAAAGCTCCTCGGATGAGGAGAGAAACGTCTTCTGTTACAAATAAAGTCCAGTTGTTTTTGTATTGAACGTTTTTGAATGAACCGAACTGTTCCATAGAGTTTGGTCCATGCAGGCAGATGGATGATCGTGGAGACGGCCGCCATGACAGGCCAGAGACCGAGCCCAAGGCGGGAAGGGGGCCTGGAACTGAACCACGATACCAAGGTAATGACATACAAGTGCGTCGCGGTCATACCCGTAGCGTGGGTGAGCAGTGTAAGCACAAAAACGTCAAAACAAAACAAGAGGAATAAAAAAAGAACAAGTCTAAGCGGAGCTCCTATCAGTGCTGCCATACCGCAGCGCACGTGACGTGACATGTTATAATACAAACTGTACATTTGTTGCTTTTATTAAAAGCAAAACATACTTTTTCTTGATGACTAATAATAGTGAATAAATTTAGAGGAAAATATTTAATTAAAAAAACAACTTCTGAGTGCCTTTTAGTCATAAATAAACAACAAGAAATACAGAAGAGTGGGACTTTAACGGTTGTACTTTAACTACCCTAAAGAATATAAATGTTAAAAAAAGTCTCCCTTTGAGGTTTGACATGTTACATGGAATACTGCTGACTTGGCAAAACAAACAGAAAACTTACCGAGCTCTGCCAAATTCCCAAAGGCAATGAGACACATCTCAGTCAGGGCGGTGTTGTGGGAATGGATGCCCAGCAGCTTCACCAGAGTGGGAATCACTCCCATGTTGATCAGCTGGGCTTGTAATGAATCTGCACAAACAATAGAAATAAAAAAGCATAAAAACAAAGACCCGAGCCATGGAGGAGTTTATATGACACATGAAGAGCAGATCTTTACTGATTTTTATAAAAACATTCCAGCTTCTAACGCTGCATTGTCTCTGAAAGGCTCAGCCCATCACACCAGAACGTGATGACAAAAACCATTTACTTCATGTGTGGCTCTCATACTATGGTGATAAAAGAAAAATATTAGCATCTAGGAACAATCATGGCCACTTGTAAACGACACAAAAACAACAACAATAATCTGTTATCTGGGCAGATTTGGACTAAAATATGAAAGTAAACATTAAGGAGCTACACTGAAGTCAGACGAACAGAAGTGGTTTCAGAAAGTATTCATTATCTGTAGCCAACACTACTATTGTTTAAATTATTTTCCTCTAATCATCTAACCTCAGTACCTCATTATAACAGAGTAAAAACAGAACTTTATACATATTTTATTAAAACAGAGAGAACTGATAATTGCAGTATTGCAGACTCTGTGCTGGTCCAATGTGGTGAAGAGGGAGCTGAGCTGTAAGGCAAAGCTCTCGGTTTACCAGTCAGTCTATGTTCCTACCCTCACCTATGGTCATGAACTCTGGATAGAGACTGAAAGAATGAGATCGTGGATACAGGCGGTTGAAATGAGTTTCCTCTGCAGGGTAGCTGGACTCTCCCTTAGAGATAGGGTGAGAACTTCATTAATCCAGGAGAGACTAAGTAGAATCAATGCTCCTCCACATCGAGAGGAGCCAGTTGAGGTGGTTCATCCGGTAAGATGCTTCCTGGGCACCTCCATAGGGAGGTGCTTCAGGCATGTCTGACTGGGAGGAGACCCCGGGCACACTGGAGAAACTATGTCCCTCAGTTGACCTTGGGAGTTGTCCCAGAAGAAATGGAAGAGGTAGCTGTAGAAAGAGATGTCTGGACCTCCCTGATCAAGATGCTGCCCCCGAGACCTGACTTCAGAACAAGAAGAAGAGGATAGATGGATGAATGGATGGATGAACTGATATCCATCAGTATTATAACAGCAGCACTCATAATGTCACACCTGAGATGTTTTCACCCTGACTGATTGGACCTGGTTTGGTCCAGTCCCTTTAGGAGGCCTTCGAGCTGAAAGGTCCAGTCAGAGTAAAGATCAGAGGAGCTGCTTGCAGCTCAGAGACAGTTTGTTTCAGGGCTCAGGTCTGGAGAAGGTTACAAACATTTCTGCTGCACTGAAGATTCCCAAGAGCTCTGAGGCCTCCAGGACTCTCAGAGGAAGACATTTGGATCAACCAGAACTCTGAGCTGGTCTCCACACTGAGCACTAATAAAATGGTCTTAGTGAGAGGAGACCAATAACCTGAAGGTCACTGTGCCGGAGCTTCAGAGATCCTGATGGGACTCAGATCCAGAAGGAGTGGCTCAATGGACGCCTCTGCTTAAAGTCAAACTGTTGAAAGTCGACTTAAAGGACGCTCAGATTGTGAAGAACAAAATGATTTAATCTGATGAAACCAAGATCAAACATCATGATGCATGCTCAATAATCCAGCTCTGAATGGTTTCTTTTTATTAAAACGTTTCGGCGTTAGAAAAAGAACAAAGGACTTCATCAACTTGAAAAAGAAACCGTCCAGAGGACTCGACTGAACTTTGTAGAACAAGATCAAACAGTTTGCTCTCAAACATCAGCATTTTGTCTGGAGGAAACCGGTCTGGCTCAGCAACTACCCAACAGTGAAGCATGGTGGTGGCAGCATCATGCAGTGGGGGAGTTTCTTTTAGAAATGGAGACTGGGAGAGTTGAGGGAAAGAAAAGCGGAGCAAGAAACCCTCAATGAAAACCTGATCCACAGAGCTAAGTCTGGACTGAAGGGTCACCTTTCAATACATAGTGACCCAAAGCAGACAGAGAAGACTCACAGGACAACTCTGTGAACACAGGCCTGACATGGACTCCATCAAACATCTCTGAAAGACACAAAAATGTCTCAAGCATCGGTCCACATCCAACTAGACAGAGATCTGGAGGTGAATCCAGAGTAAAAGGAATGACCTGAGGCTGGACCTGCTTCAGTTCACAAATGGCCCTGATGCTAATGTGATATTTAGCTCTTTCTTTTCCTACATTCATAAAGTCGTATAAAAGTCACTTTTGTTCCCACTGTGTCACCACGAGGTACTGAGAACAAAAACAATAAACAATGAGCAGACGATGCCACAAGTGAGGAGGGTCTGAATACTTTCTGAAGCTGCTGTAAATCAAAGGTCTGAAGTCCCAACGCTGCAAGAAGCGACAAAAACTGGGACTTCGTTCAAAGGCAGTTATTGTTGGGAGTTACTAGATGCCAGAAGTGAACAAAAAGAAAGGTTTTTAATGAATTTTCTATTAAACAGGAGTTAATCAGAATCAGTAATACTTAGAAAAAAGCAGAACAGAAGAAACAACAAGATGGCAATCCTAAATTATTTAAAGATCAAAAACAACAGTATGTAAGGACAAGACAGGCATATAAAGTGAAAATAAAGCTTCATTAAAATAAGAAAACTGACATGCTTTAATTAGAAATCAGGTGTGCCAGGTGTCGGCGATCATTTATTGAAAATAACAAACTAATCTGAAAGCAGGAACAAAATTTCAAAATAATCTCAAATGCTGGCAGCTAATTACAGCAGACAATAGAAAACGTCTTTATGTACTCGTCTTATTAATCACTATTTATTTTCTTTGTATTTTCACTAGCGGAATTAATATTTGTTGTACTGCACCATAATAAGAGCAAGGCACACTTTATACCAGGGTGTCCAAACTTTTTCACTTGTGGGCCAAACCTGTCTAGAAAGGACTTTCAGGACACAAAAATGTGAATTCAAGGTTTCTTCTTTTTTTTAAAGGCATACATGTTTTTAAGATTTCTATTTTAAACTCTCAAACTTTAAAGGGACACTGATGATCAACTTGTATGCGGATGATAACACTTTATACTTCTTTAAAAATATCAGATTTCCTTTTTATCAGTTATTAAATAAACTGCAATCATTTTTGAAAACACGTTATATTTAGTCAAGTTTGATAAATGATCATTCAAGTCTACTTTTAGGTAGAAGTCAGTGAAGGTTTGTGGTGCTTTGTACCATGAAATATGGGGGGGGGGGGTAATTATTGCCAAAGGTTTGTATTTGACTTAATATTGCTCATTTTGATACGTTTTTCATGTGTTTTGCTGTAAACCTAAAAAAATTTATATTTTAAAAGAGTATCATCATTAAATTTGCAGCTGCATCAACTTCTTTTAGTCCACGGGCCAAAATTACACCGTTCTTAAACTGCAGTTGTGGGCCAGATCCTATCAGTAACAAAGCACAGCTGGTAAGGGCCTCAAGCCATTCTTCTAAAACCATCACTACCAGTTTAGTATTGATACCTACTCCCCTAATAATCCCAATCTGCACACTCAGCAGCTCTACAGGTGCTGGTCATAGAATTAGAATATCATGAAAAAGTTGATTTATTTCAGTAATTCCATTCAAAAAGTGAAACTTGTATATTATATTAATTCACTACACAGACTGATATATTTCAAATGTTTATTTATTTTAATGTTGATGATTAGAACTGACAACTAATGAAAATGCCAAATCTCAGAAAATTAGAATATGGTGAAAAGGTTCAATACTGAAGACACCTGGTGCCATTTATCTTGATGTAAGCATCAAGTATATTCAAGTGTTTTCCTTGAAGTTCTCTTTCCCGTAACAACTCCAGTTTTTAGAAGTTACCTCAGTTCTAAAATGCTGCTGAATGCTGCAACAGCTAAAACTTACACCAAAACCACCCATCACCAAACCATCACCAAGTCCCAAGAGACATCAAGGGCTCTCATGTGTCCATGTGATCAACTGGGGTTGACACTCGCACAAGTTAATGGAAAGAATTCTCCACTCGGCCAGAACTTGCGATGTTGGTTGGGGTTTAGGTGTCAGAAATGATAACCATTCCAACAGTTCAACTCACTGCACAGCAGTACTTGTAATTGCCTTCATTATTTTAAATAACATTTTTACTCCAATTTTAAGTAAGGAGTCATCCAAATGAATCAAACCCACTTCATCCATATTAATGTAAGCAATATAAACTAAAATTTAAAGTCTGACAGTATTTTACGACTCATGAGTCGAGTCCAACGATCATATTTCTGTCCCTGATGGGCTTTGGAAGCATGAACACCTTACATATGAGCGTCATCAGCATAACGGCTGACACTCATGCAAGCCCTGTAGCAACAAAACTTCTTGGACACCATTTTTATGATTTTATATTGGAACAAACCACGACTACAGCACAAATTGTATTGTACTAGAAGTTCTGTTTTTCTGAGATCTGGGTCGTTGCTGACATCACATAGCACGTAGGGAGTCATTTTTAGCATTTCTGACCAGCACATTCATCTGTAAAGTTTTTTTTTATTTTTATAATCTTTTTGTAATAAAACATCTTAATGTTTCTGAACTGTGTTTGTAATTCTTGTGTGTTTCAGAGGTTGAACGAAGCTGAGATCCCAGATTCAAATGCAAAACACAGAGCTAATGCTCATTTCTCACAACAAAATGTTGTTCAATACTCATTTTGTATAGAATGAAGATGTTTACTGTACTGGACCAATTTAGAAAACCTCTTTCAGTGTGAATGCAATCATGATGCATTTATGCTCCCAGTTACTAGGTTTTCCTGCTGTTTTCCATGTCTCTGTAAAGTTTTATTTATACAACAACACTACCAGGTATGGCCACAACTCTCTTGGACAACATTGGATGCAGTTACGCACTAGAAAATCACATCTTGCGTGGAGGATGCTACCACCACAGGTATGATGTCTGCACCAAGTTTCCATGACTTTTTCACTTTCGTAGCCTAGGACTGAGACTAGTGCAATTTCATGTATCCAGAGGAAACCGATGCTCTCCTATGGTCATGAGGACCTCACAAA